AGGGATTGGGCTCAGGGTCTGAGGTAGGTGTGGGCTCAGGCTCGGGGTCTGTAGCATGCGAGTGGCATAGATCGTCCTCCTCCTCCTCACCAACAATGAAAGTGAAACCACTCCGAAAGAGCAATAGGGTTACACTTTATTTTAAGGTGTCCTTGTTACAGTGTAATTATACTTTTAAGTACTGAGTAATATTAATTAACTACATGTACTTACTAATTAGGGTTAGGATTAGGGTTACTTGCATGTAATTATGCATAATTAATTGTTATTATAATAGTAAGTACATGTAACGTGTGCAACAAGGACACCTTAAAATAAAGTGTTACCAGCAATTGCTTAACAAAATCCTGAAGCCTCCCTTGAGGGCCTTCAACAGGTTGTTTTAAACAAGTTGTTTTAAAATTTCATTAAGTCCAGCCCACAAAAAGCAAATGCAATTGATCATGAAACTTATTTGTCCCATTTAACTGGATGTCTCACTTTTGTTGAGCTTGTTGAGTCCTAAGAGCAATGTTACTAAATTTGACTCAATGCATCCCTTGACAGAACTGAACAGCACCTAAAGCCAGTGGTCAGTTGCTTAGACTAGTCTTAAAAGGTAATCTATTTGAGACTGATTGTAACTTTTTAAAGTCAGTTACGTAAAAATGTAAATTGGTCTTATTTAATTTTGAAAAGTAAGACTAATTACCTCTTGGCTAACTTCTAGTTGGTTAGACAGTGTATAGTGGCTGTGTATGCAATTTGCTCCGATAGATGGCGCCATTATTCTAAATATTGCTTCAGTCTACTAAGAGTAACCAGTTTGAAACCCGTTGAAAGCTGTGGGGAATACATACAGCAGTGGGGAAAAGGTCTATACCTGGGTCATACTGCCAAGCATTTAAAGTGAAAGAAAAGTCAGGACAGAAAGTGTGCATGTCATGTTAGAATTAAATTAGCAGAGTTCAAGAGAAGTTAGCAGAGAAGTCAATCTCATTCACAAACCAATGAATGACTAAATTAATGTATTAGAATAGAATAAATATAAGCCAGGTTGTATATGCATCTCTGCATCACTTCACACCACTCCCCATTGGCCTGAAGCTTTTTGTAATTTGGCAAAAATATATACTTTTCTTGTAGTTGATCATCCATTGATATTTTTGAAAAATGTATAATAATTTTTTTTAGAGGCTTATATTTAAGAGGGACTCATTTTCCGTATTGCTTGGAGCTTGATCACATCTATGAGTTCAGACAAATGAAAACACATGAAAAAAAATGCATGTAATGACTGTTGCATTTGATATTCTACAGAGATATGTTATATAACAGAACAATTAATTATGAATTATTCCACATAATGATGTCTCACTTGTCTGGCTTGATTCACCGTAACTACAATCTGACCCTTGATAAAGAACCAGTAGATGGTGAAGTGACTTACTCTGTGTGAATGTTCTTCTATGGTTACAACTGTATCACCACATCCTTTTGTACGGGTTGCAAAGCTATAGCCAATATTTTATTAAGACTTTCAACATAAAGGCTCAAAAATTACTCACAGATTAAATCAGACCATGAAAAAAAGGCATTGTTAAGCAGCCTGCTTTACCAGCTACAGGAACACAAAGCCAGCTTTAAGTGTATTGTTTTTTTTTAAATCAAAATTCTGATTTAAACAACCTAAAATATTCCCAAGGACCAGTGGAGCAAGGACAAAAGAAAAATAAGTTTCCCTCTCAGAAAGTTGAAGTAATCCCATGTGTATCAAGAATGTGGAAAAAGGAATATTCCATAAATAAACTTCATTTAATAAAGACTTCATTTTCCTCTTTCATGTCTTTGCCAGCAAATTTGCATCACAATTAATGGATTCTGCATGTGATGAAATAGTCACTGTTTTAAATATTTAAAATTGTTACTGTGTCATCTAATAATTTGGTAACACTTTATTATAGGGACCAATACTCACTATTAACTAGTTGCTTATTAGCATGGATATTACTAGCATAATTGGCAATTGATTAGTACTTATAAAGCACATATTCTGCATTGCCATATTCTACATCCCTAATCCTACCCAATAGCTGAATTTAACAACTACATTAAGATTAACTACATTACAGTAAGCAGTAATTAGGAGTTTATTGAGGCAAAAGTCATAGTTAATAGTTAATGGCGAGAATTGGACGTTAAAATAAAGTGTGACAATTAAGTTTTCTATTTTGTTTCCCTTAATAATTCAAAAACATCAATAAGTCAATGGAATACACCTCTACATGACAAAGCACATGTTGTAAACCCCATACCATGTCATTTAGTTGAACAGAATTTGATCAATTTCATAATAGATTCAATAAAATCAAAGCATGGACGCTTTTGCTTATTGGTGCAGGAATGCACTAAATACTTGTATACAAGTCAATATCATTTGCAATTTCCAGCTTGAAGCACGCAATAAATACAGCATCCATATATTACACTAGGAAAACAATGTACTTTATTTCACATTATGTACATTATGTTACTGAATAGAAAGAACTTAGAGTGAATTTATTCATTTTAAGTGTGGCCTATACTCTCACTTCCTCAGGGATATGACAAAACATTTAACATACATAGGACAAAATAAAAACTCTTTCACTTTTTATCAGTTGTTATCATTACATTGGCTTGCACGTGTGTATTAATACAAAGATCAAAGCAACACGGTTTCCCAGTAATTAAACCAGCTGATCCACAGTATTTGTCAGCCATTTAATTGCACACCAGACTGCAGATAATGCATTTCCACTGATATAGTGAATGCTTTGACGAGCTGGTCACAAGCTCTATTCCCACCATTGCTTTGGACTCAGAGACCGAAGAACTTAAATTGAATAGTTCTACACTGTAAAAAAAATTCTGTAAAATTTATGGTAAAAAAACGGCAGCTGTGGTTGCCGCAATTTTACTGTAAAAATACGGTAGCAACGTTTTAGGTTCTACAGTTTTAACTTAAATTTACAGTTAAATACCGTAATTTCATTAACTGATATAATGTTAATATACCAACGTATTGAAGTACTGAAATCTGTTTTGTACCTTTGTAATACACTGATAACCACCAAATGCAGGTAGAAAGTCTCAGGTGATGAGAAAGTCACATGATGAACCAAAGCCCATCACAAGCAGCTTTTAAATAATAACATATATAGAAGGTGCACAGTGTCATTCACACAAACAATAAACACCATCATGGTAACACACATGAAACTGAAATAATGCAATAAACATTCATTTAACAACATTAGGTGTAACACACAACCCTAATATACAAAACTGATAAGAAAAAACTAAGAACAAACAGTTATTTCAACAAAAAAAACATCAAATTTGAAATGTAACGCAGGGGATTCTGGGAATGTCAATTTACGGTTATTCACTGTAAATTATATGGTCTTTTTCACTTCCAAAAACGGCATACTACCGTAAAATTAATGTCCAATACATGTAATGTCCAATGCAGTTTTTCACCGTATATAGTAGGGGAATTTACCGTTAACCATTTAACAGGTTTTTACTGTAGCATTTTTACAGTCTTTTACCGTTAAATTCACGGTAATTTTTTTACAGTGTAGTTAGTCTCTATATCTCTAGTTCAGTCTGCCTAATCATTAAACATTAAAAAAAAAGAGCTAATGATTTCCTAAAAGTATCCAAAAACAACTGTGTGCTCGGTCTACCTCATTGGACTTGCATCCTTTCATCTGCAGTGCGAATGTCCACATTCAAAATGAAGGGACAGAGCAAAGTCATGATTATAAACTATAAAGGAATATAAATGATCATAATATAATTATCAGAAATCCAAAAAGATATGATAGAATGTTTTTCTTCAATAGAGTGCAATTCACTGTAACATTTTAATTACTCACAATGATGAAACAATGACGTTTTCTTACACTTTCTTGGAGTGAACAGCTAGCTTTTTTTCTTGTTTGTTTCTTTTTCATAGAATTCAAGAAGTTAAGAAGTTCTGAGAAGTTTTTGTTGTCCTTTTACACCTTCAAATGGGTATTAAAACAGACAAATACTAAGTTTAAACTCCCCTCTGTAACAAGATAAAATGCCTTCTGCAACCTTCATATTAGTGATGGATTTAGAAATTCTTCAAAATGTAGCATGTTTCCTCATGTAGAGACGTGTCACTGGGATTCTTTGGCTGGAAAAGCAGGGAACATGATGACAGTAGATTTTCATCTTCACCGGTGTCTCAGCATATCCTTATTGTAAAGAGAACTGAAGCTTGTCGTCTGCCGCAATCAAAATTATTCACTCTATGGAAACATGACCAAACACTTGACTAATGTCCCATATCAGTAAATCAGATCTGAATGTGTTGAAGGAAGTAGGTCATCACAGTTAAGCAGAAATAGGTCACAGGAAGAGGCTTAGACGCCTACATTCAACTGTCTGTCCCTCTCCGTCTTCTCGGTACCTGATGCTCTTCAGGCTCTGCTCATGTAGAACATGTGAATAACACAAACACACACACACGTGATTAATTTATTGCAGATCAAGCACTCATATGATACAATGACACTTCTTCTCTGATGAAGTTTTGAGTGGCTTTAGGTAAAGATGAAAAAAACATTCACTTATTTTAGGGACAGGAGAACTGGTGTGAATGTGTCATGACAGCCGTCTGAGAGAGCTAAGATTGACCTTTGCATGGTGAGACTTGAAATGGGTTGGCTTGATGATGACAGAATTTGTGTCTCTTTAAATATTTGTATATTAAATTGATTGCATGATTTTGATGTAACATTTGGCTTGGCTGTTCTGGATTGTTTTCATTCATCTTTTGGATGGCGTTCTAAATACTCACCATCCTTACGCAGGACACACTTCCACAAACAGAAACAGAGGCAGAGGACTAGAAGAAACGCTACAGTAGTCACAGAGATCAAGATAGCGAGCGCTGTGCCAACTAGTGAGAGAAACAGAGGAAACCACAGATTGGATGCTACTTTTCAAGCAGCCTTGAGGGACGTACCAAATATAGTGAGGCAACTTGTGGCACTCTTAGTGATGTCCGGGTACATGTGGAACTCACAGGTGTAGCAGGCCTCATCTTCAGCTCGGACTGGCCATAACGTGAGCTGCGTGTCAGACAGGGAAGAGCTTAGGCTCGCACGGTCCACAAACTCTTCTTCAATCACAGGGTCACTCTGCTTTGCAAAAGATGCAACTTCACGGGATTCTACTTTATTAACAATCTTCTTCCACAGCACCTGCTTGACTTTCTCCGGTAGGCCGTACCGACAGGCCAGAGAGGCTTGTTTACCACCCACTGCAGTCGTATTGCCCTCTGAGATCACCTTTGCTGAAAAACAATGAAAATAAGTCACTACTATACTAACAGTAGCATGATAGCACATGCATACATAATTATAAATACATTATAGTATAGTGTGTTTTAAACTATAGTACATGTAATCTGTTACTTAATAGCAGACAACTATATGCTCTTTAAAAGGGGGTTTTGCAGCAATGCTGTAGAAGAACCGAAATTTAAAAGAGGTCTCAGTGAGACCAAGATGGGATGAGTATTTTCAGTGTCAGCACATAACAATAGCTGCCTAAGGAGCATCCAGAATACAATCCCTACATGATCAATGATGTATTAAATATGTCATTCTAATCCACAGGGCATTACGCATCTCCAAAAGTTCATGAATGATTCCTTAATTTTGCATCTGTGGTGTCGTGACAAATGAATGAAAGACCAGGAACGGGAGGTGAACTACTAATTTATTTTTCTCATAGTTTTTAGCTTGAGTGCATTATAATGATTCCCTGAGTCAAAATATGATCAAAGATTACAAATGTGAATGTGTTTGAATATGGCAATTGAAAACACAACATTACTCAGCTGAAATGAACTAACTGACGTGAATAAAGATGAATAAAATGTTGCTGAACAAGATTCAAAAATCCAGTATCTGATCTCCCCTTCGCTACATGGTAGTGTTGTTTTGTTCCTAAATGAATCAGTGTTTTAAACCAATGAGTTCTGAGTGAATGATTCAATGACTTAGCGGTGTCTTATTTCGAAGGATAGTCCTCCGGAGGTTGCATTTGTTGGTCACATATGTCATAGAGTCTGTCTCATTTTAGAAAAGCAGCTATAATTTACATTCCAAAGTGAGAAAGAAATTACAGTAATTACACCTCAAAAGGAACAACAGTTAATTGTATAATGATTGCCCAGAGAGCACAGCATTTTAAATTGAAACACAGATTCTGATTCATTCTTGAGTGAATCAGTATTTTTTTAAGGAATCAGTCGTGTGACTGATTCAATGACTTACTCATGACAACTTGTCACTACCTACCGCCGTTTCAATGTAAACTGCAAAAGGACTCACTAAAAACAAATCACCATCATTAATGCACATAAGTACAGTCTGGAACAAAAAAGTGATATAAACAATAAAAGGTCCCAGTGCTACTGGAAAGCATTGATGCTCACTGTCAATGGAAGTGCAGATGCATCCTCCAAATACATCTTGTCCAAGACTCACCTATGACAGTAAGGCAGGTCTGTCCTTCTCTTGAGCCTTTGGGATAAATATCAAAGATGCAAGTGTAACAGCCCTCATCCCTGTAGCTGACCCGTTTGATGGTGATGACACTGGCATCTCGTGGTGAAGGAGCTAGCTCCACATGCTGTTGTCCACTCACACTGTCTTTTTCACCAGGCTGGTAAGCGATTAACGTCTGGTTCTGCACATCCAGCCAGCGGATCTGATGAACCGATTCTCCTCTGGCCTTGACAAGCGTACAGCTCAGAGTGAAGGGCAGTTCAACCAGGGCCTCCAGACGTATTGGAGCTGAAACCCTGCCTGAGACACACCAATACTGAAACCAACTGAAACACACCACTTACGCATAGAACAAGAGATTACTACAATCACGCACCTTGTAGTCTGGACACCATTACCAAAGACACACAGATCTGTAGACATCTTGGCAAGGAGACCACAAACATTTTAGCCTAGTGGAAAGGTAGCACAGTATTTCAGTAACTATAGTGCCAAATTATAAGATATAGCTGAAAAATTAAAAGTCCACAGTTTTATCTATCTTTAAATCATTTGTACCCTTTATATTGAGAGGGCATTTAACGGTCCAGGTCAGTCTTGTGGGATGAAAATGAAGACAATGATTTCTGTCAGTTAGGGATGTTTCCAACATCTTACTGAAGGGCTGCCATCTGTGTTCACATATTACAGACACAAAGACAATATATAAAACATATTTAGAAAATATATACACTTAAAAGCTTAAAATGTTTAATCCATAACTACACCACAACATGATATTAACCCTATGGTATTGTTAATTTGGGGGTCACACTTGTGTTGTTTTTTACAACCATTTAGCGCTTTCGAATCAAGTCCACAATTTTTTTTTTCGTGGTCACATAGCGACTGCCATAAAAGTTGAGTTTCGTACCATTTATTCAGATGAAGCAGTGATTTAAAAAAAATTCAAAACATTTTTTTACGGTCTAAAATGACCGAACAGAGGGTTATCTTTTGATTTTAAAGTTGCTTTATTTCTTTTAAGAGGCCAAAAATATTCTACAAGGAATATATAAATATAATCTTTAGTAGACAGGATTAGCTGAAAACAGTTAACTAACTTACTTTACTGATATTTATATATAATATATAATGTTTCTGTATAACTATATATTTTTCTGTTATGGCATATGCAGAATACTATTTACATTTTAAAATAAAATCTAGTAAATTTACTAAATAAAAATAAAAAGATATTAGACCTTGATAAACTGATCATTAATAAACTGACCATTTATTAATACTCAAACAGTAGAATTATCAGTTCATCTGACAGTGGCATTCGGGAAAATGAGATACAAAATGAGGCTGAAATTTAATATAAAAGTTACCTAAGATGGAGTGTTACAGATAAGCCTAAGTAATTAATATTATATTTTGACATACCTCTATGTGGTGTAGATGCCCTCTGCCCTCTGCCCTCAGCTGAACATGCACAACACACTCTTCAACACACTGAACCAACTGGGCTGCAAACGGTCCTTTCTCCACCCATCACTATCCACTGCATATTCCGAAGCATGTGGTGGCTCCGTCTCACAACTCACTGAGCTGCCTACTTAGACAGCATTGTCAGGCATCATAGGCATCTCAGCTCACACACACACACACACACACACACACACAGCTCTGACTCAAATATCAACAATGGCCAAATATGAAACAAAAAAATTCTAATTATCTGACTTTTTGGATTTAAAAAAAGTAAGGTTGAGATCAAACAACTATAGGAATATCCTGCAGTAATGCCACAGACCCCCCACTGAAGACCTGTGGAGGACTCTGTGTAATATAGAAGGATACCTTGAAAGTCGCTTTGGATAAAAGTGTCTGCCAAATGCATAAATATAAACTTCAGAAGCATTTCTGTAAAGAAACTCACAGCACAGGAATGTTCTCAGTCTGCACTCTAGTGTTCAAAATGTGACTGACAATTTTACTCAGAATACTTCATCATTAAAGAAAAAAAAACAGTGTAGACAGCTTTATTGATTATAATGGTAGTTTTTTGAGAGTGCTTAAACTCGCGCTAGACTGAAATCAGTGATGTTCTTTCATAATGTAAATATAATATAATGTAGGCTAATTTATTCGCAGTTTCAATAGCCGTGGAAATGAAATAAAATAATAACATAATTTGTAACTTACAATGTGCGTGTGTGTAGTCAAGTATGGTGTCCCATACAAGGAATTTGTACTCTGCATTTAACCCATCCAAGTGCACACACAGAGCAGTATGTATATATATATATATAAGGGCGGCGTTTAAAGGGGTCATATGATGCGATTTAAATTTTTCCTTTCTCTTTGGAGTGTTACAAGCTCTTGGTGCATAAAGAAGATCTGTAACGTTGCAAAGACTAAAGTCTCAAATCCAAAGAGATATTCTTTATAAAAGTTAAGAGTCAGCCACACCTACCTAAAATGGCTCATTCTAAGACGCCCCCACATGCCTACGTCACTATGTGGGAAGATTTGCATAATGCCGCCCAAATGTTCACGCAAAGAAAGAAGGTGTAACTTTTATTCTCGCTGTAGTATTGTTGCCGCCACCGGCATGTCGTGAAGTCGCTGTGTGCTTCGTTGTAAAAGTGAAACTACTTTGTTTGGCGTTCCAAAAGAGGACGATACCGCTACGTCATGCCTGGAGCTGATCTGTGCTGGTTGCTGAGGAAATACTACAACTTTGCGCTGTGGATCGCCGGATCGGCTTTCACCATGGATGAAGCGGGGTTCTTCAGAAAAATCCTTCATGTCCCACAAATTCTTCGGTTTTCCAGCAGCACAATGCATTAAGATCCTGGAGGTGAAAACTTTTTGAATTTGAAGATCAGGGTAAATTGAACATATTCTGTCTTCTGGGAAACCTGTAAGTACCTTCTGTAGATTCTGAAGGGAAGTACTAAATTAAAAAAATAAGAAAAAAGTACACATCTTCATTCTGTTCAAAAGTTTACACCCCTGGCTCTTAATGCATCGTTTTTCCTTCTGGAGCATCAGTGAGCATTTGAACTTATGTTCAGCAAGCTTCTTCCTCTTCAACAGAAGAGCACCACCATCAAGGAATTTGCACAGTTTCTGACATCAGTGGAGGGGCTTGATCTCAACAACGATGCGCTAATGGACATTTTTAACAACGGCCTTAACAAGGCTGTCTGCGCCTGGGAGATGGGAATGCTGTGGATTTTAACATTCTGGCAGTTTGTGGGTTTTGTGTACCATGAGGGAGATGGTGGCCTACCTCCCCTTGGCCCTTCCCCCGATCACTGCAGTATCTAAGCCATCTCGTGTATTTTCATAATAATGAAGTATATTTAAAATCCATTGCTAATCGAGATCCTAATCTTTTTTACAGTATAAAACATATTGTCTGCCTCATTCTGTGATAAGAAGCCACATCAGATCACAAAAGCAAGCATTTGACTCATGTTGTGGAGTAAAACATGTTATAATATTCTCTTTTGTTGGACAACAGGTTTAGAAACGCTTCTCATTGCAGGTCATTACAAGCGAGTTTAGCTTTATTTAATTTAAGCACGTTTAATGTAGTTAGCTAACGGTGGGCTACCTGCTGCCTTGAGAGCAATTGTAATTGCTGCATTCACGCGCTCCGCGGATGCTCTCATTTCCCGAGTTGTGCTTTTAAGTCGGAATGTGAAAACAACATGGACACTAATGTTACTACAAAGATGTGTTGGATGTATATTATCAGAGCTTTCCGACTTGCGTTCATGTGAATTTTCTCAGTCGGAAAATAATTTTTCATATTATTCTGACACCACATGAATGCAGTATAATTTATCTAGTGATCACATGGGGTGATGATCCTTTATACTTCCGTTTCGGAGCACCAGAGGGCAAATATTGCAACCGACAGCTCAGGCAATTAAGTGGCACTGAAATGAGACACCGAAATCTGCGTTCTGATTCAGTTCGGTACATACTGGTTATAAAGGTACCATGCCATATTGGCACTGGGTTTTGATACCCAACCCTAGCTGGGACTCCAGACACAACGGGGCCATCCTGGTCCGTCCCTCCAGCTCCACCCTGGCCCTCAGCCGGGACTGTAGACACACCTGAGCCTTCCTGGTTCGTCCCTCCGACTCTGCCTTGGTTATCTGCCAGGATTTCTGATTCCCCAGATCCCCCCTGGCTCAACCCTTCCATCCCTCCCTGGTTGTCCGCATTGGTCCGGAACTGTCCTAAGATTTCCTGGGCTGTTCCTCCAGCACCACCTTGGTTTCCCTCCCTCCCCTTCTTGTTTATGTGGTCTGACCCTTGTCTGTCTTGTGTTGTTGTGATGGTGTGTTTCTGTTTATTGTGTTACTGTCTTATGTTGTCATGTGATGTGTTGGTGTCTGTTAGTCTTGTGTTTGGTGTCCCTCTTTGGGGATGCCAGGGGGTGTCCCGTTTGAGGGGGGTAGAGTCAGGGTTCTGTCACTTTGGTCTGGTTTATTCTTGGTTTTGTAACAGAAATATTTTATGACATGATCTGGTACTTGCCTAAAAGACGTGTTTATGATGTGCTTAGTTAACACAAACATTAAGCTACTTTTAGCCTTATATCCTGGAAATGGTTCACCCTCTGCCTATGTTGAATCATCTGAAGTGCTTTCACAGAGACCAATCTGTGATGGATGAAGTGCATAATAAACTACAAACAACTGAAACAAAAGACTACGTTTTGAAAGTTAACTTAAAAAAATGCAGCTACTGCTGTGCTGATGTGAATAAGCCACCATTCACACAGAATTGTTTTTTGTGTCCACCCGTGCTTTTTTATCAGTTGTTTTCCTATGTGAACATGGGCTAGGATGTCTTTGACCATTCTGTTGCTTTTTTGCCATTTTCATTCAAAAAAATTAAAATAAAAAAATAAATAAAAATTCTGTAACCCTGTGCGTACCCTCAGATGAAATCCTGCAGGCGCCCCTGCATAAGACCATAACCACAGACAACACAATAGATGGCTCCATAGATCAGAGTTTACTGTAAGTGAGATGACAACTAAAAAGCATGTGCCACATTTTCCTGCATAGTGACAGCCTTGACCACAACACACCACAGATGTCACAAACTTGTTGGGCTCATCTATCACATTCACCTTAAAAGAAAACAAATTTAGATTTACTACTCACGTTGTTAGTTTATTCATTATTTGGTTTGTTGGCTAAAGCAGCAACTTAAACTGCACACATTTAGTAAAGCACACATCTACAACATTTTGTCTTGTTAGAAAGAGGTCAGTAAACCACTGTTGCTACAGCAACTATAGCAATAGAGAACTGCTGTTGCAAGCTGGATGACACTGTTGCTAGATTAGAGACTTTTCAGACCACTATGTTTGCTCTTATAACAGTGAGAGGAAATCGTAACTTCAGGTTTTCAAAGATAATTTGCTTCACTCTCAGTGGAAAGCAAAGATTTCAGAGGTGAACAAGGCCCATGTACAATAGCCACACTTAAATAAGAACATTAAACAATAAACATTGTCACGGTGAACAGGAAAACTCATCTACGCTCTAGTCAACTTTTACAGCCTCATTGTGTTTATAATTGCACTCTTGCAAGAAGTATTCCAGCTCAAAATTTCATATAATTTATTTATTTATTTATAAAAAACTGAAAGAGTTGTCAGAAGCTTAATGGTCGTAACGTTGAAGTCATGTGATCATGGTATAGTTCATTTATAGCTTATGTTTAGCTTTTAACTTGTACCGATTGTATTTAGGCTTCAACAAAATGTGTAAGAATCACAGATCTTATTTTCTGCAATTATCCAAAACCAATGAAAAAATCCTATTGGCCTGTTGTCAAGGGAATCAGGGTGATGTGAACCTCCAGGATGGCCTACAAAACCATGTCATCGTCACTTTAGCACCTATACATTTGTTTCTGAGGAAAACCAAGGTAGTTTATTTGCTGCAGCAGCATCCTGGGTTTTTAGCTCTTTGCTAATTAGAGGGTCTTTCTCTGGTTTTATTATCTGGAGTCCTTCTGCCCACCTGTGACCTTTTATTTCCTTGAATTATGACCATCTTATTGCCGTAAATGGGTTCGTCTGCAAAAGAGCAAATGCAAAGTATGAGTAGGCATGTCAAATTTCTGTTCTCTCTCTCTCTTTTTTTTTTTTTACTTATGCATTTTAAAATAAATAGTATCTTACAAAGGCAACATACAGTAACTACTCTAACTGTAGTGAATGACGTTTTGAGTTTTTATTCTCATCCCATTTTCACTGAGCATCTTGAATCTCGAGCCAACCTCATCTGCCACTGAACAGATCATAATTTCAGACCCAGTTTCAGTCATAACTCAAAATGTGTATAATTTCAGTAAATGTTTACATTTGAGTTATTGCTATTGCTCAAATGGTCATATGGATCAAACTTCTTGATGACGGTCAATTTGGAGAATAACCACACCAGTTCACATTTACTTTCATTATATGGAAATGAACAGCCAGGACATTACAATAAATAAATAACTTATGTGTTTGCAGGAAAAGAAAGTTAAAGGGTGAGTAAATGATGACAACATTTTCATTTTTGATCTCTATGATAAATATAAAACAGGAAAATAATAAATTACAGTCACACTGACCTGATGTGCAGCAACACTTTTTCCTACATTTAAAGATGAAAATAGTGGCTACAATTAAGAGGATTGCGAGTGCTGAGCACACTGGTATTGCAATTAATGCTGTTTCAGTAACACTGGGCTCTACAGGGAAAGGAAAAAGAAGAAAACCAAAAATAAAGAAAAAAATATTAATGAGCTGTATGACGTATGTGAAGATTCAGCATTGTAGAAAGTCCAGTACATTGTAGTCAAGTAGATTCTGTATTTTTGTTTATCATAAGGAAACGTATTTTATTTTTATTATATTCAGTTTTTTGTGTGGTAAAAAAATTTGTGACATCTACGATGGCTATTGGCCACTTAGAAAGATGACTCGGCTTGTCAATAAGAAATAATGCGGTGTGATAGATATTTCCTAAACACCAGAAAAACTAACCTTGTGCTCTTCTTTATTTTATAATAATGTTGCAGTGACATTCTGGCTTTGCAAAACAAAACAAAATGACCCATTTAAATTGTTTTACTACTCATCATTCATGGGGAAGTAACTTAATGCACTGCAGTTTCACAATAGCCAACCATTATTTTAAAAGCATTTTTGTATGTGTACGTGACTGACCGAAAAAAAAAATGTGTGGAAAGGTAGAATCAAAATGTTCTTTCAGAAAAAGGCAATGTTGTTATTTGAGTAATAGAATGCGCCTTTATGTCCACATAAAATGCAGTGAATGAAAGGTACCTGATGGTTTAAATGTTGTGGTGTACATTTTGCTGTTCGGTTCAGTCGTCAAGTCTTTAGCTGAGAAAACAAATGATTAGTACCAAGAAATATACAAATCCCTGACAGACTCGACAGTCTGATTATCATAAGACTATCATCAGAGAAATGACCTTGAGTTAAGCGTAAAATAGAAGAGAAAGGTACCATGAAGTACTTCAAGATAAATCTGCTCCATCCACATCCTTTGATCATGGAAAATGATGGTGCAAGAGTAGTTCCCAGAGTCTTCATCTTTTACATCTTCAATGTGAAGTGTACCATTCTCCATTATTTGCATTCCAGTCCTCTTGCTGAAAATTCGTGATTCCTGTTCCTTCTTTAGATTTATCTTGGCCAGTAAGATTGTTTTGTTGATTGTGTGGTATTTCCATTCGATTGCATCAATGGAAGACCCCAGTGGAAGTTCAGGGAGAGGAAACAATACAGTCCATCCCTTCCATATAGATATGCGTGCACCTTTTACAAGAGAGAGAATCAAGGTCAAGAATCAATCCCTTAACAGTTAAATGGCACATTTTGCAGTCAATCCCATCAGTTTCAGAACAACAACCCTTGAAGATGCTTTTAACAAATTTGAACACATATAACAAAGACTATGATGTTGAAGTGATTAGAGGTCACTTGAAGAGTTTGCATCAGGATGGCGTTTAAGGAGTTTCTGAAGCTGTACATGTAAATAGTCAACGCAGCAACATGTGACACTAGTTAGTTAAAGAGAGAGACCCATTTCTGTGGGAAATTAAAACTGAAACCTGGATGCTTGCAAGACTGAATATTGTTAAATGGTTATATCTGATTAAGTGTTTAATATCCTATATATTTGGCTGAGTTTGCGCACAAGAAATGGTTCAATCAAACTAGAGCTGTCACATGCTTAGCCACTGCCTTTTGAGACTTTTCACAGCTGGACAGAAATAAAGACCATCTGAACAAAAGTATCAAGACTATAAATAGCAGCGTTGATGTGTCACACTTAAATCAGTTAGTAATAACCAAATATTCGCTTTCATTTTAAAGGTATCTTTAAAGGCAGTCAGTGATCCTCCCCAACTAGTTATGATCATTGTCTGTATTAGGTTATTATTAGATTAGAGGCTTGGATGAATCTTGCATCTATGAAGGTTCCAGACGGGAGTTTCAATGTCACTGGAGTACCAACTTTGTTTTCCCAAAGAACCTGTCAGTGAACAGATCTTAAAATAAATAGTTTTGTTAGAGTGAAGAACATTTTAATAATCTGAAGAAAAAAAAAAACATTTTCCACCATAAAGAACCTTTTGTGCAACGGAAAGATTCCATGGATGTTAAAGGTTCTTAACGGAACCATCAGTGCCAATAAAGAACCTTTATTTTTAAGAGTGTAGAAGCATAGATTCACCACTGAAACACTGTTAATCGTGTGAAATACATTGACCTATGAACACTCATTATTGTCTTTGAAAAACAGCATATCTGCATAACTTGTCTGAAAGATTACTAAGAAAACTTTATGAGGGCTGTCATGAAACAATATTTAACAGTAACCTGCCTTACAAATAATATGCATAAGATTATAACTCTCACCCAAAGTCAGTTGCAAGAGAGTAAAGAAGATGAAGCATTGATAATTGTTCATCCCCGCTGAAATCCACCATAAGTAAATGTGTCTGACATCAAGGTTTGACATCAAAGTTGTCAAATGCTTGCTGTCTTAAGGCTGTCTTTAGAAAAGTGTGCCTTACTAACTCTATAACTTCCTTCTTGTCGTTAGTGCTACAAAGCTGGGGTGGTATTACCTTACACACTTTGTTTTTCTGAGTGTTTATTTTTCCCCCCCAAAATCAAGGTATTGTAGATGTTTTCGTCTTTGAAGCGTTATCATACTGACCCCTACAGAGCTAATGGTGTCAGTGCAGAGGAAGAGTCTGCTGTCCGCTGAACTCTGACCGAAATTAACGCTGCTCACAGTTGGACAAAAAAGCATTTTATGTTTGCTATTAATACAAGCTGAAGGCATAAACTTATAGGCAGTTTGCTAAAGTAAGTCCATTATAATTGTAAATAGTATAAAGCTAGGCCAATTTCCTGTCAATAATGCAAAGTAGTTAGAGAGTATGAGTAACTATATTTGTGGTCTTGAAGGAAATGCACAACTTCCTGTGCCTAAGCAGCGCAACAACTGTCAGAAACTGAGCATGTATCATATCTTTGAAGATATGGGTATTTTTCCCCCACCCATTTGGAAATGAAAGAATATATCTATGTATTTGTTTTCCTAGTCACAGCTATTTGCATACCTGACATATCAGTGACAATAATAGAGCAGATCTGTCACAGAAAAGCATAAATGATACACACGCATCATTTAGTATGATTTATAAGCTGTTTTTCCCTGAGGGGTCCAACAAAATTGCTCCACAATGTCAATTTCTTTCATGATTTACTTGACATTTGGTCCTCACATTGTAGGCTAAACAAGTATATACAGAGGATAGGAGAACACACAATGACCACTAATAGATGTGTGAACACACACACACACATGAAAATGAGCATGTCTTCGTGTCATGCACTCGAAGGCAAATGAAAACCGCAGAATACAGGAAATACAAATGAAATACAAGCAGTCTGTTGTTTGCCCGCTTTACTCTGAATCACTCTCTCCATCGCTCTCTTATATCTTATTCTGATTGGCAGGTTAGAAACTTTGGGTTCAGACCACACTGTTTCAGCAGTTTGTGGTTGTAGCTTCAATATTTATACCGTGGTGTACAAACCATATTGAGCTTGTTGGAACTATGGGAAGTTTTTTAAGTTGCAACCGAAGGTAGGTCTTCTAAATAGCTTGATATTATGTCCTGAGATGAAGTACTAGCAGTGTATTTCATTTCTGTTTTTGTATTTATTTATTTATTTTATTGGAACTTAATCTTAAATAACTATTTTGTTTATTAGGGCACTGTCAAAGTGTACCGGCTGATTGTTCTTCTTTTTATATGTTTCAGAAATGGAAAATTTTATGTGACTTAATTTACTTTTTTTTAATCCTCAGAAAGAAGAAACCTAAAAAAGCTGGTAAGCAAATTCTTCAGCTGATATATTCTGATAAAGCATGTTGCAGCTATTGCAAAGCATTAATAAGGAAGTGTCTTCTTACATATTTTAGCAGACTTTTGACAGAGAGCGCAAGCATGAATTCAGTTTTATGTCAAAGTTCATGTGGTTCACACTAAATGCTTCCCAGTGTGCTATGCTATGATAATAATTTTATACAGTGAATGGACACACTGTTCAGTGACATTTACTTTTATGTTTTATTGAGCAGATAATGACCATCAGAGAGAAACAGCAGACACAAAGGTAAGAATACCAAACCAGTCATAGGCCTAATGTTTTATAGGAGTTTATTAGACTGCTTATTTGAATATGAAATCACTTGTTTTCTGTCTTTGCTCTCTAAATAAAGGCAGTTCGACTGAAACAATACAATTAACCAGTATGAATGTTGTTTTAGTTTCATGTAGTGCTTAAATGTGTAGTAATGATGTTCAGATTCACATACTCCTGATAACATCATGTTAAAACAGGAGGGCGTTAGTTTAGATCTGATGTCAGTTTCATCAGGTACTGTTGGCTTTCAAAGTCGTTCCTTCTTTTATTATATTCTATATTCTATATTTTATTTTTATTATTAGTCATCTAATTTTTTTTTCTTCTTAAGTCATTTACGTAAAATTGTATATTTGATTTCTTTGTTTAAACTAATAACATTGTGTAAAAAATTACAGCAAAGGCCATTTATTAGTATTATTAAGACAGTTACATAAAAAACATAGATTGGTCTAATTTGAATCTAAATAGTAAGACTGATCACCCATTAGTTAATGGTTGTCATAAAACCAGTTGTCATAAAACATTCTGTGGGACATACACATCGGCACAATTGAGGCCAACTTCAAAACAATATTTCCACTGGCACCCAGGTCTGGAAAGCCCTCCACTGTAGCGATTGGACCAGTGTAGAAATCAAAATTGTAGGCTATGCCATTCCCATCACACAACATGAAGATCTTGTAGCCCCAGCGCTTAGGCTTCATTGGAATTTACTGCTTCTGCTGGCTTTTACCTATGAATGGTATAATCTGCTCATCAACACACAGGTGCTCATCCATTGGGATGTGATTAAAACTCTCCTGTAAAGCTGTTAGGAGTGGCCTCACTTTGAACATCTTGTCATAACCTGGATGTCCAGCAGGCACCTATCCGTCGTTGTTGGCAAAGTGTAGAAAGCGTTTGATAGCCTCCCATCTTTTCTTTGACATTGTGTCAGCCACACAATACACTCTTGTCTTTGTGCTCCAAAACATTTGGGTGTGTGGCAGGCCATGTAAAGCACATGTCCAGGAACTGCTCCATCTCTTCAAACGTGGCATTCAAGGGCATGGTTGTGTATTGTTGGCAAAGTGTAGAAAGCGTTTGATAGCCTCCCATCTTTTCTTTGACATTGTGTCAGCCACACAATACACTCTTGTCTTTGTGCTCCAAAACATTTGGGTGTGTGGCAGGCCATGTAAAGCACATGTCCAGGAACTGCTCCTTTTCCTCCATTTCAGGTTCTTCGGCTTTTGGAAGGGTGGGCACAGGGCAGCTCTAACTTCTTCTTGATCTAATAAAACATAATCAAACATACATTAATGTAACATGTAGGAAGCTATGGATGATTCGATTTCTAGACCTCTTCTTTAACCTAACCCATGTCTCTTTTACCCCACCACTCTGTTCTTTTTCACCACCCCAAGTACAAACCTACAAGCACACACACACACACACACTCACAAACACACGCACACACACAGGTTTACATTTGTGAAAAGTGGGGACATGGGGTAGTGTCCTGAAAAGTCACCTTCTCCTTGTAATACCTATGTCATACCTTTGTCATTATACAAATTTATGTCCTCATTTGTCACAAAAACGCGTACTCACAAACACACACACATACACACAAACACACACACACACACGCACACTCACGAACACACAAACTCACACAAACACTCATTCATGAACACACACACACGCACACACACACACACACACACACTCACGAACACGCACACTCACACACACACACACACACACACTCACGAACACACATACACACAAACACACACACACACTCACAAACACAAACACACACACTCACAAACACACGCACACACACAGGTTTACATTTGTGAAAAGTGGGGACATGGGGTAGTGTCCTGAAAAGTCACCTTCTCCTTGTAATACCTATGTCATACCTTTGTCATTATACAAATGTATGTCCTCATTTGTCACAAAAACGCGTACTCACAAACACACACACACAAACACACACAAACGCACACAAACACACTCACGAACACACAAACACTCATTCATGAACACACACACACACACACACTCACGAACACACAAACTCACACAAACACTCATTCATAAACACACACACACACACACACGCACACACACACCCAAACACACATACTCCACTCATTCATGAACACACACACACACACTCACGAACACACACACTCACACACACATACTCACGAACACACATTCACACACACTCACTCACAAACACAAACACCCATGAACACACACACACACACTCATGAACACACACACACTCACAAACACACACACATGAACACACACTCACACACACACAAACACACGCACACACACACACAGGTTTACATTTGTGAAAAGTGGGGACATGGGGTAGTGTCCTGAAAAGTCACCTTCTCCTTGTAATACCTATGTCATACCTTTGTCATTATACAAATTTATGTCCTCATTTGTCACAAAAACGCGTACTCACAAACACACACACATGCACACAAACACACACACACGCACACAAACAAACACACTCACGAACACACATACTCACACAAACACTCATTCATGAACACACACACAC